CCCAAAACCCTGTAGTAGATGGAATCCGAGACACAATGCCGGAGGCTACTGGAGGTCGTGCGGCACATGAAGACAGCGATTCTCTGAGCGGCGATGTCTCCTCCGAACCTAACCCAAACCTGTACGTAGCTTCAGGGATGGCTTTGAGGGCGTGGCATAGGTTAAGTGTTCTGAGTGCTATGGCTCTGTAGACGGTAAGCTACGGATCTCCACATGCAGGGCTGAGGCAGGTAGGACAGACCAGCCGCGGTTCGCCTCTGCATTCATGCGAACGACGAACGAGCTCAAACCGAATGCAAGAGGGGTGTGGAATAGCTTTGTCCTTCGTAGCCAGGGTTTCACGGCAACCAGTGGTAGAAGTCCAGCTCTAGGATGGACAAAAAGATTCTTCTTACCAGGAAGTGCGATGCTTTTTTTTCACAAGCAGTGTGGGAACAGGTGAATCTGGAGCCGCACTCGCAGGTTCTGCCACCGAAGTTCGAAGGCTCAGTTTCACGGCGCTGCTAGTGTGGCCTTGAGATAGCGAAGAGCCCAAGCTGCCATCAGAAAGAGCTCTCTGAGGGCCTTGGGGCTTGGAGCGACTCGCTGTGTGGTGACCAGCCGACGGCAGCTTCCAGCCCGGCTCAAACCGACATGCTGGCTCATTTCGACAAAGGCACCGTGCAAGCTAGAGAGACGGGTGTTCAAACCAAATTGCTTCAGTTTCGTGGCAGATAGATTGAAAGACCAAAGCCGAAGCCCTGCACAACTCCCGTGGAACGGATTACCAAAGCCTGACTGCACCCTCCCGGCACCTGTGTTTTTTGCTAAAATTTAGTATTGCGCTTTGGCCGTGAAGCCAGCAAAGCGGCTTAAGTCCTCAGCACGCTCTGCGGGGCTTCCTGGCCTCTTCAGGGTTACTCGGACGCCTTGTAACTTGTCGGTGTTTCTGAGGTCTCAGCTGGCGCCCGGCCAGTCACTGGGGCCTGCGGCAACAGCACCCAGACAGAAACAGTCTATAGTACTTAGCCCTGGCACCCTCATCAGCCTCAAGTCTGCGAAAGCTGCCTGACCCCTACCTTCTGATAGGCCGACTGCAAACCGAGAGAGTTGCATTTACTTTTGGCATGGTTTAAAGCTTACAGGGACAGGCTACGAGTTCAGCACGCGCTGCACGACCCTGAATCAGAGCAATCCCTTCCAAACGATATTCCCGACGGTACCCCTCAAGCCCGAACGAAAGCAGCATGCGTGCACAACCCAAACCAGCCTCCTTCGCCGAGTGTCTGAGGGCCGCCGCAGCGAATATGCCCATGCAGAAGCCCAAGGCTCTGTGCAATGACAGAAAGAAGCCTTCTGCCGGCGCAGTAAAATGTCGTTGATTGCCATGCTTAGTACTCAGACGGGTATCGGGAAGCTGGACCCCCAAGGTCGAACATCCCCCTGTTGTGGTTTGCCACAGGCAGCGCGCCCCGGGCGGTTTTCCAAGCGGCAGCAGCAGCCCTGGTGCAGGTTGGGGTGCAGTGATTCTCAGAAACTTGCATGCATCTGCACCGCCGGCCACTTGCG